TAGTCTCTGTTGAGCCTAGAGTTTCTGTTAGAGCCGTTGCCCAGGTATTGTTATTACCGATTATTCGATCATCATTCTTTCGTTATTATCCACTCACGGATGTTATCACACGATTGTCGAGTAGATATTATTATCAATACCATTAAATATTCGAGTATTATTACTTTTTTATTCGATTATTATTTAATTTATTCGGTTATTATTTAATTATTATTATTACGCATAGGAAAGCAACTCAGGCATGCCGTTACGACAATTTCTTCAAAATTTTTCTGTTTGGAGCATTCACACTTTCGGCATGTGCAAGTTGCGGAATTTTTGGATTAGGTAAATATTACGTTAACTGGCAGCTTGAGATTTAAATTAAAAATTTTTTGTTCGTTTTCGTCACATATCGAGCAATGCTTCTATTAATTTTTGCACGAACTTTCATTGCATAAAAACATTTGTAATTCTGTGTAACCAATACTACGTAAACTTTGCAAAAAAATTTCAATATTCTGTCGGTTAAGTTTTTAGCTTCAGCATCCGCTTTAAGCGAGTCGATATTAAGTCGTGTATTATGAGCTGTTAAAACCGACTGAAACAATCACAGGCGATCGGTATCGAACGCTATTGATGCGTTTGAGTCGAGCATTGAAAAACAAACGGTCGCAATACAACGAGAGACACGATAAAGTGATTTTGCAGCGTGACAATGCTCGACCCCATGTTGCGAAAGTGATCAAGACATACTTGGAAACGTTGAAATAGGAAGTCCTACCCCACCCGCCGTATTCTCCAGACGTTGCTTCTTCTGACTATCACTTGTTTCAATCAATGACACACGGCCTGGCTGACCAGCACTTCCGACTTATAAAGAAGTAAAAAATTGGATCGATTCGTGGATCGCCTCAAAAGATGACCAGTTTTTTCGACGCGGGATTCGTACGGTGCCTGAAAGATGGGAGAAAGTAGGAGCCAGCGATGGACAATATTTTGAATCATAAATGTATAACCAGTTTTTTACAATAAAGCCTCGAATTTCGGAAAAAAAAACGGCGGAAGCAAAGTTGTACACCTAATAGTTTTATACTTAAAACAAGGATTTTTGCGTTTTTGAAAAGTAATCATGGAAAATAATTTATTATTATTTTTATATTTTTCACATTTTATTAGGAGTGAAATCGTATAAATCGTATTTTCCATGATTATTTTCCATGTCAAAAACGCATAAAATCCTTGTTTCTCAAATATGAAACTATTAAAATTAATAATTTGAAATTTAATAATTCTATTGAAATTTAATAATTCTAGCAATAATAAGTATTAATGTTTTTAGGAATCAGCTGTGTAGTAAAAACCAATATTAACTGTGAAATCGGTAACAAATAATAAAACGATGTGCGTGTTATATAACTACGGGCCTAATCGCGCGAATTCTACGTGATATTACTGGTAATCTTTAATCGGTTATAATTTAAAAACTATTGTAGCCTCTACATTTTTGCATTACGATTTTTGACTCTAGAAAATTATCTTCAGAATACGCTATTAAAATATCTCCACGGTGGTTGTGAGACACCCTGTATATCTGTCCTTCCGTCTTGGCTTCACTCCTTTTTACGAACCGCGCAGTCTAGTATACAAATCTTGGTCCCGCAAGCGCAGTTGATTTCTTTTTCTTTTTTTTTTTTTTTTCTTTTTTCATCGCCCGTTCCCTCAAAGTGGCCTTTCGCTGTAAAATGGAACAGATGTCTATAGCGTATATTCGAGTAAGGTGAGATAAAACAGTCGGACTCTTTACGGGAGCTCCCGCTTCATATCAACTGTTTTCCCCACACCTGATGTGACAAACATTACGTATGCAATTTTATGTAATATTGTGTGGTAGATAAATAGATTTATGTCGATAAGTTGTCGGCTTGTATCGATATATTATCGACTTGCGTCGATAACCTTAAGACGATAAGGTAGGTTTAGATACGTAAAGAGACAAGACGATAGGTGCATGTACTTACGAAAGGTGTGTTGCGCGTTGAATTATCGATCGGTTATATTTTGCGCTCACATTCGGCTTATCTGAACCGTAAACCTTGTCATCAAATCGACTACGTTTGTTCTTCCTTGCTCGTTCACTTTCAACACTGATTCACTTTCTGCGACTCTGTTGGAAAAACCGCCAATATTGACAAATAAGCCAATCTTTGTGCTGATACCCATGCTTTTACCAGGAGATTTTATCAGAAGGTAGACAGATCCAAACATGTTTCTTGAGGGCAGCCTGCTGATATTCTCCTTCCGTTACGCCGTGCATTGTATTATTGAATATCTTTATTCAATTTCTTAATTATTATTGCGAAAATCACGAAATATATTATTTTATGCCGTATAATATATACCAGTAATATATGTAAATGTGCACGCGCGTGTGAAAATTTAAATATAGTGCCCAACCTCTCTTCAATCCAATATTTTATTTACGCATTTCAGTTCGTTCACGGCCGGATCCTACCACAGATATGAAGTTGAAGATCATGTCAAATCTTCCAAGAATGATATTTGGACGCTTTGGACCTTGGCGAAATGCTTAAAAAAATCGATTCTCTCAATTTTTTACGTCGGTATAGATCGTAAATATTATTATTTTCCTGTTAAGGGAAGGGAGAAGGAGAGAAAGAAGGAGAGAGATTCGCAGTATCGGCAGAAGATACGCGTTCCTCACGTGCACAGTTCATAAGATATTTGCAATAAGTTATTTCTGCATGATTTGACGTCGTGTAAAATGATACAAATGATACATTTTATAGTCATATAAAATATTGAAAATGATGTAAATTTAATTGAATTAAAGTTTTACCCGGAAAGAAAAAAAAAAAGATTCAGCCACAAAATTAGAATTTTTCGGACTGAATGTGTGTTTCGATGTCTTGTTTGCTGTTTACATCATCCAGAAAATATCACGTTCTGCTTTATGTAGATACGTATAAAAAAGTAAACGTTCGAATATTTATTTGACCATTTGGTAAGCTACCAAATACCAATGCCGCCGATACATATAAAACGACATAGTATCTATAATTAACTTTGTCTATATACAATGAACGTTCGACGTGCTGTTGGATATTCTCGCGCAAATCGCATGACACGCAAAAACGCATACACGCACGAATATCGTTCATTTTATAAGTGTCAATGTTCGCGCGCTATATTGTACCACCAGAAAACGCAACGAAATATCTACAAAACACTGCTGACTCTCGTATCTGCTTGGTGGTGGCGCTTCCCCTTACGTTCTAGCCCTTCTCTTCGTAGATACATTGCGATGCGAACGCGGGCCGAATACGTTGCAATATTGTGCCGCCATAATTGTCAATACCGTGTACATTATTATAAAATGCTTGATGCGTCGAATGTTTCTACGCAAAATTTTTGTCAGTTACTTGTATAATGTAATTGTTTCATTGTGATGTGTATGGAATTAGTCGTTGATATTACTGTCATCTCGGCAGTGCCTGTTCATTTTTTTTTCCTTTTTTTCACGAGAACATTGTCAACAGGTAGATCGATATCTATGTTCCTTTCTATTATCGATTACAATATCGATGATAATGACCTCTTATACGTAATAATCATATATGTGTATACGTTATAAGTTTGCCGTAAGAGCTTTAGCGTAACGTTATTTTAGAGTCTATCTTATCCTTCCAAACAAATTTCTCCATCTTGATCGATATAAAGTATACTATTAATTAATACATTGTATCTTAACTATATGGCACATAAATGTTCCGCGATAGGCCAAATATTTATTCTCTTACGAAATATTTTTCTTTGTTGACAGATAATTTATAAGTAACATTAATTATCGCCTCTTATAGCGCAGTTGAGACGAGAAGGAGATGATATGATGAGATATCTCCTATTAAAGCTATCTTCGATCGTACTTGATGTCGCATTGGATCAACGGTACGATCCATTCAATCCTTCCGATCGAAGCGTCGAACTAACATGTGTTTTCCGTAAAAGTTACATCTTACTTAAAACTTAAGAAGAAGAAGAAGAAACGCATATAATTGTATTGTCGCGTGAGTGAGATATCTTCACGGAAATAGTCTCTTCAAAACTCATAATCCAGTCGATTAACGGACTGAGCCGAAGATCAAAGATTTTTGGAATCTTCGTTGTCTTCGCCGCCAAGATTCTCCTCGCTCTCCTGCCGGTCGACCGCCACGAAGATAGCGACAAAACCTTTGTTCGCAATCGTATCATCCGTTCTAAATCTTATCAGCAGCGCTTCGTTCATCGACATGAAGTCAGTGGTATTCTACACATAAAACAGCCACAATTGTTCGTAAACGTTAAACGCTACCGAACGGTTTTGTTGCGCAACGTGTTCCTCCTACGCGAATACACAGGTCTAGTATATTTCGTTCGACGATCGTCATTTAGCAGAATGGATATATACTCACAGAGGTACCACAGTATCGCCCGTAAGGTGGACTAGACGCGTCTAATCCAGAAAATACTTCGACAAAGTCATATCCACATTCGCTTTCGTATTCGAGGTGGAACGAGAGGAAAGTCAAGTGGACGATTTTGCCAACCGGTGCCTCTATCGCCCAGTCGCAGTCTGTTCTGTGGTCGTAATTGTGATAACCGTACTTGGGGTGAGAATATAAATGCTTAACTCGATCCGTTGCCATGAGATGACCACCGCAAGCTGTAATGAGAACTCTACTTGTCTAGCGGCACCAGGTAAGGTCAGTGCGCGGTTTTACATGATCGTACAATAATAAATGTTCGAATATATAATTCGAAACGTTTTACGTGCAATTTGTTCCGTCACCTGTGCTATGGGTCGCGAGGAATCCTTTCCTCTGCACGGAAGCGTCGCTTTTGAAGACCATGTACATTTGATTGGCCGTCGCGAGAATCGGATGTGGTTCTTTAGTACCACAAAATCTGCCCAAGGTAATGCTGTCCGGCGAATCTCCGTCGTAAATTGCAATGTGGTCGTACGCACATTCTTGATGTGGTTCCATCTCAAAAACTCTGAAAACCTAGAACGTTTCTTTGCTCATTATCGTAAATTCTTCCCTCAGGGGAGGTTTCCTCTCGTTATGCTTTTCTTACGTTATTGCGTGTCGTCAAAAATCACAGTTGACAAAACGATACATTGTTATTTACGACGAATTTACAAGATACAGTTGCGCAACAAACCAATTTTATCCGATGGCCTGGTTTCGTGGTGAAATGCCAAACGCAATCCTTACGACCGGGATAATAATCCGGATAGTTCGGTGAAGTGATCGTTCCCAAGGGCGCGATGATTTCGTACTTGCAACCACCCTCTTTGCAATCGTGACCGTTTTCGTGAAGCGTGAAACCGTTATGGCAGGAACACTGGTAAGAACCTATCGTATTTTTGCACTCGTGCTGACACCCTCCGTTATTATTAGCACACTCGTCCATATCCGTGAAGAATACAGCAGCGAAGCCTGATTTTTGAACACTGTTCAACGAAAGATAAATTGCAAACGACAGGTATCGAATGTTCGTCCCGATATTTACGTCGGTGTAAGACGATTTAACGACAAGGCGCGTAATAACTGAGCGAATAACGAGTTTATTACAATATCGCACATTTCGAATCCTGTTTTTCCCTCCGTTCCTTTTTTCTCTCATCGTTCCCCTCCCCGCCTTCCCCGTCCTTTAACAAGCCCCTCTCGTAATATTCTTACTCCGACTTTGCGTATCGGAAATATACTTTCAATCGTACTGCATGCGACGGTATGAAATGTAAGACCTGTTGTCGGATGTGAAGGTGATTCTCATAAAATTGCCTTCGGACGTGATCAGTGGTGGTGATCGCGCACCGCAAAATATTCCGTGCTTTCTGTAAACGTCGTCGCCGAGTTTGCTCACCACTTCTACGGAATCGTACTCGCATTCTTCTTGGTACATATTGTTGCCCTCCAAATCGAAATGTGTGAAATTCAAAGTAATGCGATACTGAGGTGGAGCGATAATTTCCCAAACACAATTTTTATTTCCTGGATATGACTCAGGAAACGACGGGCTAGTAATGGTGCCGTTATTGTCGTCGAAAAATCCACCGCAGGCATCTGTCGATAAGATAGAATTGTCGTTCACCACCTCGGGATGAAGCAAAGAAAACCAAGGGTGAATCAAGCGATCTTACCTTCGCAGTGTTTACCGTCGGAATGCAACTCGAAACCGACTTTGCAAGAACACTCGTACCCACCGAGCGTATTGATACAATCGTGCTCGCAACCGTGGTCCGTCAACTTGCACTCGTCGAATTCTACAACGTGAAAGAAAGCAGGCGAGATTAATGATGAGCGGACGATTACGCGATATCGTTCGCGATCGCAATGATATCGCAGCAAAATATGTCGCGCACCTTTCATAAAAGTCGCCGAAAAACCAGCCTTTTGCACGGAACTATCGCTGACGAATTTGACGAACAATTGATTCCCCGTCGATTTGATATCCGGCGGTATCTTGTAACCGCAATAAACGCCGATCAGAGCGGAATCCTCGTTATGTCCGTCACGCACTTCGACATAGTCGTACACGCAATTGTCGTGGTTCTCGATCTCGAAAGATTGAAACTTCAAGGCTACTTGATAATCTCGAGGTACGGACAGTTTCCACACGCACTCTTTGCTGGATTGATACTCCTCTGGATAATTAGGCGATTCCAGATGACCTACGCCGTCCAATTCGACGTCGCCGCCACAAACAGCCTCGTAGCTTGCCGTGAAGCCACGGTGGCCGTTTTGTCGACTAGACGTCACGTATGTTACCAACATGCGACTTCCGGTCGACACTACCGGCTCCTTTATCTTACCGCTGCCGCAAAATCGACCTGAATTAAACGAAGCATGAGCGAATTATGAGGGGCCTTTCCGTACCGAGGACAACTAATTTGTTATTACGATATTACGCAACGCAACACACAATGCGATACGATAACATCTTGCTTTCTTTGTACTTTCTTTGTATTGATAACGCTTTTATTCGCTTATTACACATATCGTTGCGAGTAACTTGATCTTTGCAAGAGAAATCTCACCTAATACGTGGCTCTTGTACCAATATCCGTCTCGTATTTCGAGGTAATCGCTACGGCAGTAATCACTCTTGAATATGTCGAGAGACGTGATGTTTAGGACGATGCGTTCTCCGTGCGTCGCCGTGATCCTCCATTCGCATCGTTCTCCGTCGACAGTTGGAGAATTGTTCGGGTAATTCGGTGATCCGAAGCTACCACTGTTCTCCTGGAAAGTTCTACCGCATTCTGTCAATTCATTCAAATCAATGTATTTCATTCGTTGCAGCTGTATTACGAGACGCGAATAACATGTCTATCAGGCGTGACAAAATCAACATTACTGATGATCGAAACTTTTCCTTCTTTTCTCTCCTTCGTTTCAAGCTCATGCTCAAAGTCTCGAAGAATTTACATTAAATCTACGTGTAGAGTCGCGCGCGCGGATGTCAAGACTGTCTCTCGAAAGACTGCCTCATCGAAGATAACAACGACATTCGATAACTTGAAATTCTTACTATGACATTTGTACAAAAGATTCGTCTGCGCGATGTCACCCTCGCTCAGGCGGATTCGTTGTCCAATCTCGGGTCTCTTTTTACCATGGATTTCCATAGGTAGAATTGTGTCCAAGTAAGTGCCTTTTGAAAAGGTATTCTTTGCATAATGCATAATGGAGTCGTAGTCGTAGGGTAAGCCGAGCGAATTTACTTCTTCTTCCGTCAACTTGTTAAAATTGTACTCCTGCCCTGTAAGAAAGAGTAGTTCTTTTATCTTATTTTCCGCGCGGACACATTAAGAGAATTCTTTCATTAAAGAATAGAATTATCCCAACTATTATGTGCTGTCCTTTTCGTGTGTAGATTGCGTGACAGTTTGCGCGACAGTTTGCGCTTCGTGCCTCTTAAGCGGAAACTCAAACGAACCGCGATGTGATAAACTGTTTCGTCAACTGAACGACGACTCGTTAGGACTGTAGGTAGCTAACTGCCATCGTCAATTGTTCAACTGCACGATCAATCATTTCTAGCATTTACCGCGTATAAATATCGGAATAGCGGAATAGCGCGACCGTCCGCAGTCGTCCCTGATGACTGGTGATATTTGCACATTCCCGATAAATTAGGCTATTAATCTGAAATGGAAACCTACCTGCCACGAAGGTAAACGTATACTTGGGACGCGGCTGCACATTGCACTGGCAAACATTGTCCAAAGCACATAAAGCGTGCACCTTGGAATAAATCCTACTCACGTACACCAAACGCCAAGCGAATTCATATATCAGATATATATTTATGAAATTTATCGAGACTGCGCGAATGTTTGATGAAATTTTGATAAGAGCTGAGTTGAGATAACGCGAAACGCTCCTGACATACGATATTTTAGAATTATAGCGCGATTTGTATCACTCATAATTTATCAAACATTTCTCCCCGTCGTACTTACCGCTCATAATGTTATCACGGATGATTTGTACGTGACGATCGCGATCCGGTCGGGTATGTTCGTGCCAAAATCCAACGACATGACCCAATTCGTGCACCACTATGCCAAACTTGTCGCAATTCTTCCCGATACTAATGGCTTGCGGTCCGTTACCTCTCTTTCCGACAAAGGAGCAACATCTGCCAAAGTAAAGTAGTCGCATACATTCGTGACTTGCATGTATATATCGAACCGATGCTTTTAACAATAACAAACGAATGTATTATATACCATCCGGTTGCCCGGGCAATACTCGCGGGTTCATGTGCCCGGTTATACAAGTACACATTGAAATTACACTGACATCTGACTGAGAATGACTCACCCACAAGGTCTTTCCGTAAATAGGATGTAATTGGGATGCTCTCTGGGTACCCTTTCCACAAATTTGACGCAAGTAAAATTTTCCCAGTGTCTCATCGCCTGCTTAAACAGGGCTTTGTGAGCGCCCGAAAAGTTCCCATCGATCTCGTAGGGTATCACGCCATGATCCCACACTCGTTCCTTTCTCGCGGTGGCAGCTCGACGTGCTCTACTTAAAAATGTGTGTCTCGTCGTGCCACGCTTGTTTGCTACATATTTCGGCTTGTGCTCCATATCGTAGAATTCGATGGAACGAAGACGTCGATCGTGCACGGAAACAACTTCATCCGACGCATCGCTCATAGAATCGTACGTTCGACGATTGCAATGACCACGAGAACGCCTCCGTAAGGTACTAAGGAGATGCATCAACAATGTACTCGTGTATATAATTTTCTGGCTTTTTAATTTAATGGCTTTTTTTTCTTTCGGACGGGGTCTCCGGCGCCGTGCATATGTGTTTGCGAAAATCTGAATGGGACTCTTTTAAACTTGACGAAAAAATATATATTGATTTGAGTTTTGCTCTCTCTTTTCTTTAGTGAAGCAAGAGAGAGAGAGAGAGAGAGAGAGAGAGAGAGAGAGAGAGAGACAGAAACATGTCGCGACATACATTGATCACGAATGTCAATAAAATTGCGATAGACATCATAAAACTTGTACAACCAGCAAGCAATACCTTGAGACTGTTTTCGCGTGAAACGTGTAATTTTAAAAGTGACATAAAACTTTTCTCTCCCGATTCGAAAACAAGCATCCGTAGTGAAAAACGATTTTCCAAGTATAGCGATAAAACGAGCCGCTACGCATAAATCGAAAAAGGTATCGCGTAACTTTTTACGAGATCCAACGAAATTGCCGTTGGCACTTGTAGTGTTCAACGCACGATCGTACCGTAAACATTGGTAACGAAAGTATTCGTAAAATTAAACGATCCAGCCAATCAATGTAGAGTGATGCGAGAAAGAAAATAAGAAGCATATAATAAGTTCAATGTATGAAAATGCAAGCAAAATGACTGTTATATTTCGTATAGTCGTTTCCACGCGCGCGAATGCACCAAATTTTCCGTCATCGACGGATATACACAGAAAGCATTTGTGTTGTACAATATTTGTGAAAAAAGTGATATCTCTCTCGTCCAACCAATTATAAATCGCACGCTTGCTCATACCGTTGGTTTTTCCACCGTTTGTTTACTAGCACTAATTACCAAAGGTATGCGTAATTCTCCTCTGTTACTCGACAACGAGTCTACTTTAACAACGAGCCAGCCAACTCTAACAACTACCACTTAAGCCAGGCGTTCCTAAATCAGTAGGGCGTTACAATTAATTAGCGTGTCTCGCGTGTGAACCGCGCCGGGCCTAAGTATACGCCCGCATCGTGAAGAGGCGAAGAGAAATACAGAGCAGAGTGCGTTAATGAATCCCATTGAGATGCATTTATATACCACGCTTTATGCGTACAGCATTTACCGTTATTATCTCAGCGATCCGTTCCGTTGCATAGTGCGTATTCGTTATAATCACTCGAAAATGTCCAGAATGTTCGCGATTTTGCGCGAAGAATGACACCCGGAGAGACCGAGAGAGAAAGATTAAGCAGAGATGTCAACTCTCTACTACTTAAAGGCAGTCGACGTAATCGCCAATGTTATCGTGTTTATATTATAAAAACGAAGGGAACATAATTCGTTTCACTTTCGCTAATTGAGATATGTGTTCCGGTAACTTTGATTTCTCGCGTAAAAGTTTGCGCGACAATGCGACAGAATTTCTTCCTTGTTTTAACGAAAAGCAAACATGAGAATAGGGTCTGCGTTATTTATCGAGTATTATATACCGTTTGGCGTTCCGTGTAGAAACTCGATAGTATGCCCCGCACGTGTATGTTACGTATATACACTCGTACATATACGAGCGTGCTAATCCCACGGGGGTGAAAAGGGGCGAAAGGGTCGGCACGTATATAGGGATTGGGGAACGTACTGGACGTAGATTGAGCTTTGAAGCAGGCTGACGAAAGCGCGTGTTTACGGCCTATATCCGATACTGCGAAACACGATCGCACAGTCCGATTCTCAGGCCTTCGAAGCTCTAGAAAAATCTTTTGACCTTGCTGAGCCGAATGATTCCATACGCGACGACAGAGGCAACGATACGCAACGGTACAAGCCCCGCGAGTCTCTGGCAATTTATAAATGGATAAACGAAAACGCGCGTGTACATGTCTATTTCGCTATACCTAATGCACCCACTAGGGTTCTTGCCCTTTCAAAGTAATTACTCTCTCGACTCGCGATGTGAGGCGAGACGAGGCGAGGCGAGGCGAGGCGAGGCGAGGCGAGGCGAGGCGAGGCAGGGCGAGGCGAGGCGAGGCGAGGTGAAGCGGGACGAGACGAGGCACGGTGAGACGAGGCGCGAGGTGAGGCGAGGCAAAGTGAGGCGTCGCGTCGCGTCGCGTCGCGTCTAGAGAATCGTTAAAGTCGAATCGACGATATTACGAGCGTGGTGGAAAATTATCGTCTCTTATAACGTTCAGCCAAAGGACGGAATTTCCGTATGACGCTCTACACGATAATGCAGATGCGCGAGCGGTGTGCAGCTGGTGAGGCACCGCAGTACGAAACGTCGTTGACAAGTTATTGGCAGTTCGAGGGCTGAAAATGCCCAGAGGGTAGTATCGGACCCTATTTTCCAGCTTTACGATGACGGGCATTGTTATTGGCATTGCGAGATGGCTTTCCACTAGCGGAAATATCATTGGCGAGATACTTAGAGGTTGACGCTCTCGCCTCGCTCTCGCCAGCGGCCAAGTGGAAGAATAGAGCCGTGCCAACGAGTCACGCGTTCACTGTTTAATCGCTCGTAGTGAATCTCGAGAGAGGACTCTTGTCTTTATTTTTATTTGGTATAACCAAGTACACATTATTGGCGTAATTCAATATAAATCCGAGAAAAATTGTCCAGAATGAATTCACAATAGAAAATAAATTCGTTAGATGCCTGTCGCGGACAGGCTATTCGATCCTTGACTCTAGCAACGTATCGCGAAATAATAATACAAATAATTTCGTATCTCTCACAATAAGCGTGAGCGATAACGATCGTCCTATATTTCAATTTAGTTAATCTTGCCAAACTGTACTAAAGATTCACTCGACTAATTGAATAAGAATCAATGGGATCTAATTCACGTACTAGTGTATGTCGACGGACTTGTATAATTTGCAAGTGATACACATTTAATAAAAAATCTACGATTATATATGACTACGTATAATATGACCGATAATACCTCCCTACCTTCTACGATGATGACATCTGTGATGATGTCGTCGGTTCGGTAGACCTTGCGTGCTCATTTTGGGTTGCACGGTAAATGTCTCTTTGACGCTGTCCGTATATGCGCGGTCTGTGTATTTACTAGCATCGGTAGTAATACCGATATCTGTAGTAATTGGAAATTCAAGAGACATATCATGTCTCGTGTTGATTGACCCCAAGTTTGACAGCGTCCTCGAAAGCTGCCGATGACTTGGCCGTCGATGTCTCTTCTTCGAGACTTGTGTTGAGGATTCCAGTCTAATGGCATAAGCGCATAACTGTCGATCAGTATCGTTTCTACGCGCGCTGTCTATATGCGCGAGTTTCAGCTATGTATGTTAATGCGTACCGACAAAAATCAATAAAATATGTGACGTTCAAACAATATACATACATGTTATGTACAAGCGTGTGCATGTTCATACACTCAAGTTCTTGCGTTGTAATGCGTGAAAAACATATTCATTGTAGTATACCTGAATTCAAAGCCCTCGTCTTTCACTGCAGGATTAGTATCATCGTTCCTGGAATTAAAGCTGAAACCATCGGCAGACTTGCCACCCGTATTATATTGGTTGCGGTCTACCATGATCGACTCCGACTTCTCTTGAATGAGCACCTCATGTTCACCAAGTACCTGTTTGCTGGTATCGTGTTCGCTTTTGAACTGAAGAATCTCTGAAGCAAACAGATCAAAGTTAATCACGATTCAATGTAGAGCACACAAGTGAATGCGAAAACTTTCTGCAAATTAGCCAAATCGCGTAATTGTTCGTGGAGTTAAATGTCGAGGTAGATATTCCAACAAAAGTACGAATAGAAACATTTTTATTATCACACTAGTAAGCGCGCTGTATGATATGGTAATGGAGAAAGTTAATATATACGCACCAATTATGTTACATTACAGTACGCACCTGTGAGACCTTCCTCTTCCACCTGAAGACCTTCCTTCAATATTTCTTCTCTGTATTTGTTTAATTCTTCCAGATAGCTCTTATTTAACTTTTGTTCGCGCCATTCTGTATCGTATCTGATGTTTGGCAGTGCAATGTCACCGGAAAACCCACCTGAAATTTATCACAAACATATATATAGTTACATAACTCCATTACGAGCAGAGAGGAAGGGAGAGAGAGAAAGAGAATGCACATTGCGCGTAATAAATTAGAATTCTTCCAATCTGCGACGTCGCGAGCGTACATGTATCCCTGCGTGTTAGTGCCCGTTTCGGTTAATTAATTAAGCGCTTGCGCGCGATCGCACCTCTGTTGGTATGAACGAGGTTGAAATCGCCGCATTCGCGAGGACATATCCGTAAATACAGCTTCGTAGCAACGAATCGCAGGGCTGTAGTTGGACGACTCATCGAAATTTTACTCATCTGTGTATTACTTTACGCGATTGATTAACTTTTACGCCATCTATATCCTTTCCTTCTAAAATAAATGCGCTTCAAGGATCTTGATTGCCCTTACAGTAGCTATCTTGTCGATCAAGATGTGATCATGCGTAACGAGTCTGACAATCCGTACATACTTTTGAAAGAGTATAATGGAATGGCTGTCATTTATTCGCGATATACCAATACGAAAAAGTAAATACATACACCCTTTATAAGATAATATGTGCTTAATGCGGCCCTGTACAACTCCCGTACGCGAATGCATATATATATATATATATATATATATATATATATATATATACATATATGCATGGTGCAGTCGGTTACAAACCACATAATGCCAAACCCCTGTTCGTTTCGAATCGGCGATTTCATGCCATTCAGGCGGAAGCATCGTCGAAACGTTCGCATAAAATTGCACCGATGCTCCGATCGTACTATTACAAATTAATGTGAGCAGAGTGATAAATACTCTGAAATTAACCATTTTTTTCATTATTTATACTGTTCAATGTATCCAACGCTTAATCGTACCACTAGTATAAATTTGCATCTTTCTCAACGTCTTCTTTGTGTGTGTTTTATCGTAAAATCAAATAATTAGCGAGGAACAATAAAGTAAATGTATAAAAGTACAAATTACTGTATCATTCTGATTAGAAAAAAAGTCTAGACAAAGATCGATGAAAACAAATTTTCCGAATGGAAAGCAAAGCACAGATATTATACCCGAGATACGATCGTCGTACCGCGGAATCGTGGCAGAGAGCCAATCGGGATGTCGGAACTGTTCCAATCTCCGAATCGATCTGAGAAGCCTCCTTTTCCATTTCCAGGACATTTGCAAGAGCACGCGAGATATGAGTGGGAGCGAGAGAGAGAGAGAGAGAGAGAGAGAGAGAGAGAGAGAGAGAGAAAGAAAGAGAGAGAAGAAGGGGAGAGGAAAGAGGGAAGCTGAGAGGGAGGAAGAAACACTTTACAGAATGGAGTAGACAAGAAGTACTTCCGCTTAGCTAGATAGATTGTTGGAGCTTTCGTGTTGAAATGCTTACGATAGTTCATCAAACATTTCCATTCCATTCACAACATCGTCAAGTTTCATTTCGCAAATATTTGATTTCAATATTCTTAATGTATTCTCTCTACAGCTTGTTTCCGCCCTCATCGGTAATGCCATTGTTGCTCTCTTTAATTTGCTGAAATGTTCAAGTAAAATATTAAACTTAATGACATCCTTCTTTGAATCTATATTCATTAAGAGGAAATATTAATCTTCGATATGATTAAATATTGCAAGTTCAGCAAATTGTGATGTTTTTACAATAGAGCAAAGTGATGCGATCCCACTGAACTTACATTGCATTTTCAGGAAATGATCGAAACATAGATTCCTGACAATACCATTGGTAACAGATTTATTACTTACAAGAGGCTATGCGATACGATGTACGAACAGAGAAAATTCCAGTCAGACTTGATATTAATGTCTGCTATTTTCACTCTCAACATAATGCAACGTACCGCATGCGTGTATTACATATGTATGTCCGCGGATTACGTGAGTATGTGTACGAGTGTGTGCTGTATTGATTCGAATGGAGAAGCCTCTCGCATCGCAGTGAGTCTCTATCGCGTCGGATTAAACGTTTGCGTACACTACTGACGTCAACTTTATATCTGTTTTCTCGCCATTCCTTTTTTCTTTCTCCTCGTGTTTCGCACGGTAGCACAATACTCGGCAATGGTGTTCTTTCACCGATCTAGGTATAATTGCATGCATCAATTTTGTACCAACAACAACTCGACATCACGAGATGTCCTCTACCGCGAAATAGAATCAAATGGAGTCACACGGAGAAAACATTGTAGTAGAAATCACAATACAATTTTAAAATCACAGTACAATTTTAATACTTTGAATAGACTGATGAAAATTATAATACATTATGACAATTATGACCCATGAACATAGTAAAGATTATCATAAATATAATAAAAATTATCATGTTTAATGTTCTTATTTTTACTATATTTTATTGTAATTTTCGTAATAGTCGTGCCAGCCTATTCCCGAACTACTAAAATCGTATTGAGATTTTTACTACAATATTTTTTCCGTGCAGATAGAGCAAAGCAGCGCGATCCTGTTGCGAACGAAGCGACCAATTTAATATCGTAATTATTTAGGAGGTCATACACGAACAAACGAGATTTGATCATTTTTATACGATAGCGAAAAATGCAATTAAAAACATCAAAGGACGGCGGTGGACTACCGTGCAAATTGAATATTCTCTCGAGAATTGATGGGATGTTATTAACTTTAATAACCAAGCCAGTTATCATCGTTTGACATTTTGTCCGTCCGGGCAAAAAGATTAAGGACATTTTTTCTACTCCAGTTTGAACTTGGCAAGTATGATATTTTTCTTCTTCTTTTGTTTCTTTTTTCCCTTCTCCTTTTTTCTCTTCTCTAAATGCGACACTTTCGCGATGATTAAGAAGATTATTTGTTCCTTTTCTTTCCCACTGATGTTAGCTTCGACCGAGCTTCGGCCTTTTAGGTTTTTTCTCTTCCACTCGTACCGTTCGTCTGCTGCCAGACTCTCGTAACATTCGAGAGCTCTGCTGCATCCCTTCCAACGCAGCCTTCCAAGCGCAGTTGTAGTTTCCCTATTGGTCTCTTTCCACCTACGATTATTCGAAGATCCTCTTCGGTATTCATATTTCTAGTACGCACGGTACATGTCTCGCGCGCATACGACTCGGGGTATTTTGACACGAAGACTTGAAAGTTTTCCACCGAATCTCTTTTTTCTCCTCCTGCTTTCTCTCCTTCCTTTGTATTACATCTCTTATCACTTCTCTTGCAAGTTGTGCCGACGTTCATTCAAATTTGCTCATTTAAAATATATCGGCAAACAAGAGCAATATGATCAAATAAAAGAAGATAAATCAAACGGATAAACCGTCTCATACTAATCATCGCGCGACATCATCATTTCTTACGTAAGTTTAGACTAAGAAGAATTAACACACAGAATGTATGTGTGCCATCAATTTTACAATAAAATCCGTGCCATTGATTGCGACTGAGAGCGGTCAAAAAGATCGCGCTCTATTGTATAGAATACATCGCTAATATCGAGCATGCACGTACGCAATTCCACAGTTAATTGCAAGATAATAACAGGCTGCGTTATTAAGAAACGACCGCGCTCCAAGTGACCATCATTGTTATTTGCCGAGCGATAGTAGGACCATGTCGATAGTGATTCATTGTGTTTACGACGTTCCTCAATAACGTCAATTTTAGTTCATGTTCATGCGAGCAATGATTATTGACGGAGGTTCGTGAAATAAATTTCAGACGTGCGAAATCTCTCTAGTAGACGTTTCGATCTTTCTCTTCGCTACTCTTCCGTCTGTCTTTCATCCCAGTTGAGTATTCGACCTAATCCCAAGGAATAACTTCTCCTCACGTTTAACCTCTACGTCACTTTCTGCTTCCTGAGTTTGATTCGGCTGTATACCGAATCGTTCCACGCTCATCCAAAACAATTATTGATCAAATTATTTCTCCAATCGAATTCTATAGCCCGAACGGTCCGAAATGCAGAATACAGCACAGCCAGCACGGACGGCGGTACGATTATGAGGCCAGAAATTGAAAAAAATAATATAAGAAATTATTCTGGATAAAAGTAGTCTTCGTTTGGTCTTATATTGGAAAACACAACTTCTTGTTTCTTCGTCTGTAATTAAAGAAAGAGCCGTTTCAACTGCGTACCAGCGGTATGGCGGAGGTTAAATGTTATCACCCAATGTGATAATCAAGCAAACAGAAGGAAAGCAAAGCAAATGGCGTGGTATATCAACTTAACCGAGAATCGGTCGTAATCAATTCACAGTGCTTTACGAACAACTATCTCGACTGTATAATATAGTGCTAGTAATAGAGCTATCTTTCTTGTGCCGACACATCTCACCAAATATTTTCAATTACGTACAAGTGTGAATGAGGTAAAGAAATCTCGTTTGTTCAAGTTTAATCGATAACGTGAATTGTACCATTTTTTTCATTTTCAACATTAACCACGTGTATTCGCTCTATGAGCTATACAGGCTCTCAAGAAGAATTTATCTAGTTGCTCTGTGCCGAATAGCTACTATATATATTAATATATTTGTTCTTAACGAAGTAACGTTGTTATGTCCTGCCGTTTGCGTTACTTTTTCTCACTTATTGTACTTGGCGATTATGGCACACAGGTGTTGAGATGTTGTTCTTGATATGTAATATCGCAAGATAATCTCGCTGCAGAGTGTTGCGTGAATGTTTGTACGCGCAATCTAACTCAATTTCCCACAAGAGGTTCCGTAAAGACATAGAATACACGCTCATTGGACAGTATTGTTGAATATTAGACAGATGTAATGTTAAACTTTGCGATAGTCGCATTGTACATCATATTTCAATTTCCATTTCTCTCTCTCTCTCTTTCTCTCTCTCTCTCTCTCTCTCTCTCTCTCTCTCTCTCTCTCTCTCTCTCTC